GAAAAAATAGCATAAAAAAATGTTTTTATAAAATATGTTATAAATAGACTTTTAACTTTGAAAGAACTTAACAGGAGAAGATCAGATAAATACATGACAGTAGAATGTTAAGTTTGTTAAAACAAAGTTAAAGAAACATAAGCATATTTGGTAATATGCAAGAAACAAACAAGTCTATAAAAATAAATTTAAAAAGTAGTTATAACAACAGCACAAAAAGTTCTAAAAGTAGAAAAAAAACCTGAGTCCTATCTTATATGTTATATATAGTATTTTTTAGAAAAGTAGAATCTAAAAAAATAAAAAATAAGCAGTTGGGTTATCATCTTTCAAACAGTAGTTCCAGAGTTCAAACTTTACTGGTGATAGAATTTTGAAAAAATAACCAATTCTGACAACTTGATTGAAATATCTAAAATTGTAACTTTATAATTCTGGTTATACCAAAATTAACTTTGAAAGCATGCAATATCATATAAATAAATCTAAAAAAATATACACTATATAAAGCATAATTTGAAAATTCTGAGTAGAGAGGTAGTACAATTTTTAACAGTACTATTTGTAAAAATCTTAATTTAATAACCTCTAGATTAATAGTCAATAGTTAGTACTTTGAGGTTACAGTTGCAAGATTGCAAATTAAAATCAACTAGGAGACAAGATTTAGTTAGAATATAATTGATAATCTATAAGAATACAAGCAAAAACAAGATTTATACATATATAGTCTGTTGGCATAACTATGAAGATAATTAGAAAAGACATAATCTATTAACAAAAGATACTAAAATTAAGTAAATCTGAACTAAAAAGAATAATCTAGCTGGTGGGTCATGTGAAGTTAGAAAACTGCAAACCTAAATAACATGATTCTTATACTATAAGGCTAGAAACCTAAAACATCATATAACAGACTTAATAAAGTATTAAGTTATCTTATTAGTATAATAACATATAAAGATTATTTTATTTTTTATTTTTTTTTTTTTTTTTTTTAGTATTAAAGTGACCTCTTTGGTTCTAACTTTTTATTAATATTTATTTTTATTTTTATTTTTTTATTTTTATTTTTTTTAAAAAAAGTGAGTCCTGGCCTCTATTCCTTTATTATCATTATATAAAATTTTTACAGTAAGTAAGTGAATACAATGTTATGGAGAACTAAAGACTAAAGCTAATTTGCTTTCGATTTAGACTTTGCTAAGAAGATCCAGAGCCTTCTAGTCTATGTATATAATGTTTGTTGTAGGTACATTTTGATGAATAAAATCTGGAAGCCATTTGTTATATTTATTCTTTATAGTATCTATAGTAAAATAAGATTGGGCTTGAGAAGTTGATGAGTTGGTTGAGGTTGTGGTATTTGGGTTTTGGTTGCAGATATGTGGTATATTAGTACATCTATATTTTCATATTTGTTCATATATTTTTTGAAGAGTTTATGATAAAAATATAATATATATTGATTATTGGCAAGGTTAGGTAGCTTTGTTATTGGGATAGTGCCTAAGGGTACTGAATTGACTCTGATGTTGCATTTAGTATATGCTGTTGTTTCTAGTAAAATTTGAAATTTGGTATAGGTGGTGTTAAGTGTGCTGGTTATGATTTGTTATAGAAGTATACTATTTTTTGGGCATATGATCCAATGGTTATTGTCTTCAGTGTAGTTTTTGCATTGTGAACATGTTGGGCTTGGATATATACTAGAATGTCTCTTATTCAAGTTTTTGTAGGTGGGTAGTTCATCTAGGAGTACTTTAATTTTGAAGGACTTTAGTTATGACTTTTAGAGATGTATGCTTCTTGCAATAGGTTTGTTTTTGTAGCTTATAAATTGAGTTGTCATTTCCCAGTCAATTTGGTATTGTTTCTAGGCTTGTATTCTGCTTTGCGAATGCTATTTTGCTAATGCTTGAGCATTTTGTAGGTGTCTGATAAGTCTTCTAATATTGTGTTCAACTGGTACTGTTTGCATTAATGAAATATATATATTGTGAAAGATTTTGCTATAGGGGATGTCTATAGTAAATATCTCATTTATGTGGTTGCATTGTTCTAGATTAGCCTCATAAATGGGTTGTAAGAAGATATGTTTGTTTGCTATTACAGTTCTTGCTCTGATTTTGTATATCCAGTTTGGGGTATTATATAATGCTCTTGTTTGATGAACAAAAGTAGTTATAGTTATTATTAGGTCTTAAGTAAAGGTTTGATGTTTTATATATAACTCGAGTGTGCAGTAGTTTAAACAGATGGTTAAGAGTAATGCAGTTGCTGTATATAGAGCATATATGTTTGATAGCCAAGTTGCATTCTGAACTGATATCATATAGGAACTTCCAATAATCTTCTATGTCACTGTTGAAGGATTGTTGAGTATTTTGGTTGTATAGATGCTGGCTTGTATTTGTTTCTTTTTTTTGAATGCCTGGTATATGTTTCACAGTTTTGTTTGCATAGATGGGATTAGGGTAAGGATTTTTCAAACATATGTGTCTTCTTTTTTTTCAGAAAGTTGTGTTGAAATAGTTGCTTTAGATTTAGTATGAGTGTTAAGTTTTTCTTTGTTAGCTTTTTGTATGTCTTGAAGGTTTGTGTGAAATCACTTTTTGCTGTCTACTTGAGTTAATATTATAGAGTTTTTAGGTACAGTGATTTTGCAGGTTTTAGTTAGGTAAGAGAATAGTATACATCCTTTGCAGTATGTTGTTTGGTTGTTCTCTTTATTAATTTTCCAGTGGGCAATAGAGATGTTTTGGTTGTTTATTCTAGTAATTTTGCCAATTATTAGTTGTGGTATAAAGGTAATTATCCACTTTGACTTGATTGCTGTTGTTAAAAGTATAGTGATTGGGTTGAATGTTATAAGTAATCTATATAAATTTTTAGCTGCAGCAATTGTGTTAGTTATTGTTGTAAACCATTTGGGCTTTCTTCCTCTTGGTATTTTTTGTATATTGTGATAAAAAACTTCCCAAGTAAGTGTTTAATTGTTGTTGTGGTTGCAAAATTGTTTAATAGCTTGGATGTTGTGATTGTTAAGCTGTTTTTTTATTTGATATATACAAGGGAAATCAGTAAGTATCAGGTTAATTGAGTTGTCTAAATGGACTTTTGGGATTGGCTATAGGTTGGCATCATTCATGATCTGTATTTGTAGTTTGTATAGACTGAGGACTGTTTTTGCAGTTGATGTATTGTGATGGGATATTGGGAATACTGGTGTATCTAGCAGGATCAATATATTACAGTTTGCTGCATTTTGTAGTTGTTGGAGCCTTATGACTAGCATTAATTAATTAAAGTCAGAATGGTTAATAGTTTTAGTAAGATTTGAGATATGATGTTGGTTTTGGATATTGTATGCCTAGCAAAGTGCATATATTTGATGGTAATGGAGGGTAGAATGTGAGGTATTTCTAGAGAGCATTGCTTTGCCTTTAGTGATACTGGTATATTGATTTGTGATTTTTTTGCATTGTTGTTTAGTAATTTATGTGTTCTGTACTCGATATGCGAAGTGGATGAGTATGACTGCATTTATAATGTAGATCATTTGTTTTTCTGTAATCCTTGCATGTTTTAATTTGTGTAAAACAAGGTTGATTTCATTAGTTATTCTATGATAAATATGTTTGTGGGTTTTTAGATATGTGAAGTGGCATCCTAAAAATCTAAAAGTTGTTTTTGGGTCCATGTTGCTAATTTGTTGGCTATTAAAGATGATGTGTTTGTCAAAGTTAGATGTGTTTGTAGCCAAGATTGATTTGTAAGAATTAACTGTTATGTTGGCCATTTTGTAAAATGAGGTGGCAGTTGTGATAATTTCTTGTAATTACTGTTTATTTTGTGTAATCCAGGTGGTGTCTTCCATGTAGGCCAGGCAGTGATGTTTTTGTAATATGTTTTGCCAGTTGGTATGTTAGTCTATAATTTGTATCTCTTATGTTGCTCAGCGATTTTTGATATTAATGGGTTATAGAAGATGTGCCATAGGAGTGGAGTAATGGTTCTCTTTGATCAAGTTCATTATATATGGAATAGAAGTTAGTAGTTCCAAAGTTTGTTATGACTGTATTTGTCCTGTTAGTAAAAATGTCTATAATAAGATTAATGATTTTTGTAAGTATAGAGAGTTGGGTCAATGTTTTGTTGAGTAGTGGTATGTGTACTAAATCATAGGCTTTGAACATGTTTTGGGATAAGATCCAGATTTCTTTGTTTTCAGTGTTTGCATCTTCTAGGATGTGTGTTAGTATTTGAATTGGCTGTATCATGGAGTCAAAGGATAAGGCTACATGATTGTAAGGTGAAAGAATGGGATATCTGAGCATTATGTTGTTAAGTCTGTTAGTTATTATTTTGGTAAATATTTTCTGTGAATGTTTAATAAGGATGATAGGATGGGTGTGGTCGAGCTATTCTGTAAAAGTAGGTTTTTTGGATATAAAATAGATGGTTGCTTTTTTTTATTGAGTTGATATAGTTTCTAATAGTAGAGAAGTGTTAAAAATCTACAGTAAGATTTGCTTTGCTGTAGAACTAAGATGTTTTAGCATTTCATTAGAGATTGCTTGTAGGCTGGGTGCTTTGTTTAAGGAAGATTCTTTTAATGTGTTTTTCAGTTCTTTGGTTGTAATAGTGTTAGTTAGTGTAGAGTACCACTAAGGGTTTATTTTAGTAATAGGACTGTAGATTGGCTTCCAGTTGGGCTACTCTGTATTGTGAAGTGGATTTGCCTTTGTTTAGTTTTCTAAATGTGATTGTACATGTTGTTTTATTTGTGTAGATAAAGTGATCACATTCTCTGCTTGTTTAATATTGTGAAGGATTACTAGATCTGTGTGTCTATATAGAATACTATCGATCATTTTTGTTGTATTGTCTGTAAAGTTCAAATGTCTTTTAGAGATGGCTGTTTGGATTCAGTTTCACTAGGCTGCTTAGTTCTCAATATTTCAGGCATTATACAAAGTGCTGTGAACTGTGTGTAGTTAGTTAACAGTATTGCTAAAGTTGGTATAAGTTAGACTATTTTCGCTAAGAATTTCAATAGGAAGATCTGTTAATGTTTGTGTTTTTTTTAGTAGGTGGTTAATTTGTATAATAATTTGTTGTAGTAAGGTAGGTGGTTTAGTAGATATAAGTATGTGTAGGCTTTTGTTTAGATTTTTTAATGCAGTATAGAGTAGTATTGATTTTTTGGTGAATGCCAAATAGGTGTGAGGTGTAACTTTTGTTGTTTCATTGGCTGCCTTTTTCATTGCTATACTAAGTTTGTACCATTGCTTATTAAGAGTTTCGATGCAAGAGGTTGGATTAGTTGGCATGTTGATTGTGTTTTCTATATATGAGTTAACTTTTGTTTTAAAGTCTTCCCACTTGTTCTTGTCTATTTGTTTGTATAGGTATATTGTTCTTTTCTTCTTTTTATGTCTTTTATTTCTGATTGTGAAGTTGGTATTCCAAGTTGTATATATTATTTTAGGGTTGTTTCTTGTAGATTCAGTCAGTACCATTAGAGTTAGTGATCAATTTGGTGTATTATGTCACATGACATTCATATGTTGTCAATTTGGCTAGATTGGTTTGTTTATTGCCAGGTAGGTATACTAATTTCAAAATGGTTATGAGTGCTTATAAGAGTATGAGTAGTGAGATAGTGGAGCAAGAAGGTTTTTTTCTTGCTTGTATTTGATAGTAAGTTGTCATTGAAGTCCCCAGCAATAATGATATGGTAGGATCTTGTTTGAGCCTGTTGTATTCATGTTATTACTGTGTTTGGGTGCTAGTTGAGAGTTGCTAGTTGGATGTTAGTAGATAAACTGATATGATTCTGGTTTTATTGTGCTGTGGAAAGAACAAATCTTCATAATTGCAGTGCCTAGGCATGTTGTAATGTTATGTATATAGAATTGAAGTTGTGAATGTAGTGCAATTGCTGTTCTGAGACTGCTTTCTCTTATTTTTTTTGTGTCTGCATTACAGTTTGATGTCTATACTCTGTAATATAGGTTTGCTACTTGGAGTTTTGTGAAAGTAGATTCTGTGATTTTTGTTTCTTGCATGCAAATAATATGAAGTTTTGTTTATAGCAATATTCAAGCCAAAGTTGTAATTTGAGGTTGTTGTTGATTCCCTGCATGTTGTGAGTATATATTGTTAAGTTATTAATATTAATAGGATTAGTGATAAGCTGATTTATTAGAGAGGTAGAGGTTGGTGTTGATGTATTTAAACTGCTAAGGTGTGCAGTTATAGTTAAATCTTAGGTGAGAAGATCTCCCAGTTTGGTTCTGGAAGGGGTGGTAGTGCTAGGAGATTGTTTGGAATGTTGTTGATAGTGAAATATTGTCGTAGTAGTTCTAGTATATCCTTTGCCTTTGTTTGTTATATAATTAGAATAGGTGTTTGAGTAAAGTCTATTTTTTTCATAGTTAGATAGTTTTTGATTTCTGTTGGTGAGTTTGGGATTGCGGGTTTAGGTGGGTTTTGTTTTCATCTTGGTCTGTGTTTTGTATATCTGTGTGTTTAGTGTTTTCAAGTATGTTAATCTAGGTGTTTAGAATGTGATAAAAGTAGTATGTTTGTCTTAGTGCTTTGGCTGTATCTACAAGTTCTTTGGTTGATGTTATGGAAGTTGTAATATTTAAGTCTTCAATTTCCTGTGGATCTTTGGGTAGAGTAGGTTTGTCTGTGAGGTTTGCTAGCATTATGCTAGATAGTAGAGGAAGAGAGAACTTGTAAATTGGTGTAATCTCATCTATGAATTGTTTTGCTTGTTGGTTGTTTGTTATTGGAAAAATAAATGCATCAGGTGTTTTAATTTTGTTGGTATCTTTTGGAAGGAATGGCTTGGCTTTGATGTAGTTATTTGGAAGATTTATGAAAGTAAATTTTTCTCTAAGAAGTTCTATAACTTGTGTAATATCTGTGTCTAGATCTTGTAGGTCTAATAGAAAATAGAGTTTGTATTTGCTACTAAGATCTTGATATGCTAGTAGAAGTGGTTGTTTAGGAGGTGGTAGGTTAAAGTAGTTTAAGAGTATAGTTTTGCAGATATAAAAGTCTTGTAATCTTTTTTTGTAGAATGCTAGGTTATTTAGCTGGTTTCATTTGGTAATTGGGAAGAGGTGTCTCACTGCAAGATATAGGTTCTGTATATTTTTTGAAGTTGGATCGAGTATAATAAAGTATTCTTGTGGTAGTAGCTTAAAGTTATATATTTTATGTAGTGCTGTTACTATTGCTTTTGTTTGTGATCTTTGTTTTATAAAGAGGCTGAAGGGAAGTATCTGTAAAATTTTATTGAGAATTTCTTTTGAGTTAGCAGAAAGTGAATCCAGTTGTGCAGAGAAGGCAGACTGTATTGCATTTTGTATGTCTTGAAAGTCAATTGGAGTTTTATCTCTAGTAAAGTTTTTATAGTATTTGATTAAGAAACAGAAAGTTCTGAGCATATTTGTTGTGAAGTTAGTATTGATTAGGTAGTCAATCATAATTTTTTGTTTGAGTTTCATATGTATGATATCTCTAATTGCTCTGGTTGTTATTGTAATTTCATAAGCTTTCTTGTAGTTGTCTATTGCTGTCTTGAATAAGTCTTCATAGGCAGTCTGGTGCTGAGATATCGAGCGTTTATCTCTTGTGAAAGTAAGGAAAAATGCTGGGTCTTGATGTTTGAATTTGGCTTCAATGGCTAGATGAAGTAGAAAGTTAGTGGGTTTGGTAAGTAGTTTGTGTTCTACAAAGTTGTAAATTTCTTTTTTGTTTTTAGAGTAGCAATGATTTCATCATAATTTTATTGTTCATTGTTAAAGGGCTGTGTGATTTTTTTTGCAGATTGTTGCATATGCTGTTTACCTATTCTTGGGTATTGACTATTTCCATGTTGTCTTGTGTCATGTTTTGTGTAATAATATTTCTTTATGTTATTTGGCTGTAAGTGGGGGCTTTTGTTCATCAGGATTGCTGACTATTGTAGTGACAGATTCAGTTTCCATATTTAGGTTGTTGGGGTTTGTTTGTTCTTTGGTCTCAGGTTTGTTTTATTGTATGTCTGTAGAGTCTAGACTATTTGGTATAGGCTCTGTTAGGGACATATGCTCTGCTTTGCTACTGCTGCTTATGGTAATATTTGTGTGATCATTGTGGAAGGTAGTAGTGTGGCTGTTGTCAGTGCCTGTAATTTCTATTAAGATGTTGTCAGAACTGGTTTGAGTGAGTTTGTTGTTGTTGTTGTTTGTGTTTGATGATGTCATAGTGGGATTTGTCAGGAGTAAGCTGGGTTGTCCACTTTTTTTATTATTTTGTAGTCTAAGGAGAAGTATGTGTCTTTTTTTTGAAAGTGTGTCTGAGTATGTAGGGTCTTGTTAGTTGTTGCCTTTATTTTTCTGGAGTAAAATATAACTAATGTTTGCAGTTTGTTTCTTCATTTGTAGTTGCAATGTGGTCTCAAAGAAAAACTGGGATATAGGGTCAACTGGCCTGTATTCATTTTCTTTGTCTATGGTAGTGTTAAGAGTTTTGTTCTTTTTTCTTTTAATTTTGTTTTATATTATAATTGTGCTGCTTGTTATTTGTATCTAATATGGCCCAAAGGCCAGAAAAAAGCTAGAATCTATATTTATTTAGTTAGTATATTAGTTAGAACATAACTTATTTTGTCAATTATTTTTTACTCAATGTTTTGTGATCTGTAGGAAATACTTAGATGTATCTATAATAAACTATCAGATGAGTGTATAACTGACTACATGTATAACTTTTCTATATTACCTATTTAAGGAGTCTGCCTAAAGATTCATTACTAGTTGCTATATCTAATATCTCTGCTTAGATGTTTTATTTAAACCCTTTGATCTAACCTTGGCATTAATTTTATCAGATCACATATTCAGATCTATTCACTTTAACTATAGAACTATAATCCTTAGACTATTTTTATTTTCAGATAAACCTACTAAAGTAAGCTGTATTCCCTTTTATTATTAACCTGATTTGATGCTATAGCTAAGACCAATACTTGCAGTCAGTATTACCTCTTAAACTGCTATTACTCTTGTAAAGTTCACCCAAATCCTGGTACCTATCTTTTTGACTTCTTCTTTATCATCTTCTACTAGTCACAACTTGGAACTAACTAATACTTCAGACTTTCAACTCAGATGGCCCAGTATAGTATATTTATATATCCTTTTTCTTTAGTAATTTTAGCAGTCTGGTTGGTCATATGCTTCTCTATACATCTTGTTATTTAGTTTATCTGACAGTTTCTATGAAGGTGTTTTATGAGCTTCCATAAGTCTAATAATACTATTGAAAGTTTGTACTACCTCTTTACTTAGGATTTTCAAGTAGGTTTTCATCTCTCAGTTTCTTAGCCTTCTACATCCAGTGGTCTTATCATAGATTTGCACCAAAGCCTTATATAACATTAGCTTTTCACATTCTTCTATATATATGTAACATCACACTTTACATAAATGCCTTGAGCTTCCAATGTCAGGTAGGGCCTGACTTAGTGTATTTAAAATTACAAATATCCAAAATTTACTAATTAGGAAAAGACAGGTACCATAACACAGATATAATTTCCAAAATTTGTCATCTCTAGAAATTGAATCTTAGATCTGCCACTTAAGAATTGACAACCTATTTATTTCACTAGGTTGCCACACCCCTATAGAGATCATTTTATAATTTTATAGATCTTTACAATAATGATAATACTGGTTTTAGAAAATAAAAGAAACTTTAAGGTATTTAAAGATCTTTTAATTGTAAAAAGAAAAGAAAACAAAAGTCTTAATCTGAAAACAGTAATCTGAAGCAAATAACTTATACAAGCAAGAATTTTAGATAAAAGAGATTTACCAATTTGGCTACTAATTAAACTAAGTATAAAGTTATATTATATAAAGCTAATTAGATTAGTAGTATAAAAAAACTTGCAAGAGTATATAAGATACTAGTAAGGTTGTAAAGGGAAGTACTGAGATTGTATGAATTTTACAAGTATATAGTAGTTTAAAAATTATTTTAACTGTAAGTATTAATCTTAGTTATAGTAATACTAGATTAATTAGAAATTAGATAATAGAAAGCTCTAATAGATTTAGTACAAAGTTAAAGATTTTTTATATGAGTGAACTACTTTAAAGACTTAGTAATTATAAAAACTAAAACAGCTAATAGCATAGGTAGATAAGTAGATACAGAAACCAGAATATTTAAATAAAGAACTTACAAGTAGGTTTTAAATATAGTAGCTAGTATAAAACCTTTAGATAAACTACTTAAATTAGACAATAACTAAAATTATATAAAT